CCGTTATGGATAAACATTGCTCTCGGTAGAAGATTATCCATATCTGGTATAGTAGCAGCTTACACGACAGCTTCCTTTCTTCTATAAATAGAAGAGATTTCAGTTCATTATGTACATCAGTTTGAATTCGAATAATATATCAGTTTCTCTCTATACTTATCTTTACTTTATAGTCTTTATTTTATAACAAATAGCTTAATTTTCGTAGTTTAAATCCTTTTACATAAATGAAACAAAGACAATACTTAGCATTGGTTTATTAACAGAAGCTTTTTCTAGTGAAATGATCGAAAACGAAAATAAAATAAGTCAAGCATAAAGAGCAACAAGATTAAAGGATAAATGGGAATTAAATTTTCATAAACTTAGAGTGTTAATTTCGTGAATGACTACTCAAGTTTCATTTTATTCCCCTAAATTCACCGAACTATTTTTCTTAATAAAAAAATCAGTCAACTATATATAAGTATCACGAAAGTTATTAAACTAATTTTTATAATAAAAAAGTAACCCAACTATACACCTTCTCAAAATAGTAGGTCTAAGTTAGAAAAATAATACTCTATATTATTTAATTTTCTAAAGTAAGAAATATTTTGAATTAAATTTGTGTTCTAAAGCGACAAATAAAAAGGACCTTACGGAGTACCATTTCAGCACTTCTCACGAATGATGAATGTGTATAAGCAGCAGGAAGATACTGCCCTAGGGCTAAGGATTTAATTTAGACGATTAGACGTGTTTGGCTCAAAAACAATAATATTAGAGTAAATGAAATATTTACACTGTTCACTAGTAGGAACTTCAACGAAGTAAGAGGTGATGTTTTACTTGGAAGTCTTCATTAGTTTAAAATAATAGATCGGTACCATATAGAGTAACTTATTTTGGGTCTCATTAATCGCGCGCTTAAGCTTTAATTGGAAAAAATTAAAGTGATTAATATCAACTTCAGCAAGATTAAACAGAGAAGGAAAGTAAAAGAGAAGGAATTAGCTCAAATTGAAATTAACAGGTGAAAAGTGTGAATATTTCCCTTCATCGTTACAAGTTAAGCTAAGATCATCCTTCCCAGTAGACATGAGCAACAGCTGAAAATGAAAAAATCGTCGTTTTGAGGAATTTAGGCCTTGGACTGATTAAGGAAAGAGACCAACTTTTTCAGCACGACCATAGCATTTTCACTCGTCGGAGCAAACAAATGAAACACATGTTCCTCATCCTTAATCTCCACAACCTCTACTGTCCCTTGCCACCCACTCTTCTCTAATAACTCCTTATAGTACAGTCCCCTGTATTTCAACGGATCTTTTCCAGCAACATAAACAAGTACTTTGTCACACCCTAAGCTAGACAATTTCGGATCCTTTTCCGGGTTCATCAACGGGTCATCTAATCCGGAGCTATTTGGATGAGCAAAAGCCCAGAGCTTCTCAATGTAGTTTTTGCAATCCAAGTTTTCAGCCTCACCGTCAATTAAATCAATCCCCCAGAAATACGGACAGGCTAGAAAAATCCCATCAAGTTTGACGCCATCCAACTTTTCCAACCCGACCCGAATTGCTATATTATGAGCAATATTAGCACCAGCGCTATCTCCACCAAAATAAACGTGATTTAAATCAGCGTGGTCTTTTAGCCATGGCTCATGACCTTCACCTTTAGCATGTGAAGCGATCCATTTGAGAGCTAACCATGAATCTTCATAAGCTATGGGTAATGGGTATTCAGGAGCTAACCTGTAGTTAACAGAGACGATTATAACATTGGCTTCAGTTGCTACCAAATTAAGATGCTTATGGTATGAAGGTGAAGAAGCAGATTCAATCACAAAGCCGCCGCCGTGAAAGTAGACGAAAAGGGGAATTTTTTGAACCTGATCGAGATTTTTGGGCAGGTAAAGTCTTGCTGATAGGTTAATTTTTGGATCAATTTGGACATCTTTGATTTGGACTCCGGTTTCAGGATCCAATTCAGCTGGAACAACGCCTTCGCCCAACAGCCTCTCGATTCGGCCATCTTTGTAAACTCTGATCAATGGGAAAAGGTCATGTACTATTTCCGCCATTGCTGAAAGCTAAGTTGCAGGGGAAGGTTTGGTACACTATGCTCAAGTGCTGTGACAGGTACTTACTTTTAAATGCAAGACTTTTTGCTTGTTTACCTAAACGTTTGGTCCAATTAGAAGACTCAAACACTGTTTGCTTAGTTCCTTTTTTTTTTAAAAAAAATTATAAATATATTTAGAAAAAGTACTATAAATAATAGAAATATTTTATGAAATACAAGAAAAATTGTAGTGAAACAACATTAAACAGTGTCTAGAGGACAAGAGACCTTTTTCATCCTCACTTATTTCTTCTTTTTTAAGACAGTCTATTTTTTTCCTTTTTTCCTAAGATTTGGACCGCTGAAAATAAGTCAATAAGATTGCATTAAAAAAAAAAAATTGTACCACCATATATACGAAAAAAAACAATTCAAGTGAGCGTAGCCCATACGTCATTGTCCCTCTACTGCTTAAATCTTCGCAGAATTTCATGCGTGAGGGACTGAGGGTGCTCATGTGTTTGACAAAATGCCAAGGATTATTATGGAAGAATAATTAGCAAATTGTTAGAACTTGTTAATATCCTAATGATGTGGTCCTAATAAGGCCAACTGTTTCTGGCTTACGTATTTATGGAAAATGACTAGAAAAATCAAGACAAAATACATAAGTTGCCACCTGACCTATGACCCAAATCCCTATTACACACTTTTTAGGAACGAATATTATTTTACACGCCTAACCTTTCCAAAGTGTATCTAAAACACACCACTTTTGGCAGCTGACGCGCGCGTGTTTTACACAAAAAAGAGGCGAGTGAATGTAAAACTTTCGGGTCTAAACCATTATCTAAATGTCACATGTCCGGAGCCTTTGTTATTTTTTTCTTTTCTAGTTTTAGTTATTTCATCTCCAAATAATTTGGTCTCTTTTCCCCCCCCCCCCCCTTTTCTTCTTCTTCTCCTGGACACCTACTTTGTCATCTCCATTAATTAAACTCTTAAACACAAAAATAGTTTCAGAGCTAGGTCCAAGTTTCAAATTAATTAGTCATCTCCTTCAAGTTTAAATATTTTTAGATATGCTAATGAAATCAGTGACTGATTTTTCCATTTGTTTTCATAATTTTGTTTTTAGATCTGCTGTTTTGTTCTTTGACTTCAAAAATTTAATTTTTTTTGAATGGATGTGAAGAAAAGGTTTATAGTGTAGGTTTTGCTCTAAAAATTAATGGCGATAGTGGTGGCTGTCATGGCCAACACTTAAAGCACCATGTGAAAGATCTATGTGAATATTGGCCACAACGATAGTGATGGTTGCCATGGCCAACACTTGATTCATGTGAATATTTTTTTTTCTGGTGGGTATTTCTATGGCTGTGGGAGTTTAGAGGAGGCTTGGTGGGTATTTCCATGGAGTTTAGAGGAGGCTTGGTGTGGGAGTTTAAAGAAGATGAGAGACGTGGGGGAGGGGGGGTTGTTTTCCGTTTTTTCTTTTTTTCTTTTAAATATATCAATTGTGGTGTAAATTTAGTATTTTTATTTTTTGTTCCTTGAGTTAGGACATGTGTCACGACCTTATTGGTGCGTGATATTACACATATTCTGAAAAACTGGTTAAGAAAAAAGTTGTGTGTCTTAGATACACTTTGGAAAGGTTGGGTGTGTAAAGTAATATTCGTTCCTAGACTCTGACCTTCTCATCCTTCTTCGGCACCGACATAATATTGGCTAACCATGTCGGATATTCTACTACCCTGAGGACCTTAGCTTTGACCTGCTTAGTGACTTCTTCCTTGATTTTCAGACTCATGTCGGGTTTAAACTTTCTGAGCTTCTGTTTTACCGGTGGACATGTCAGATCAGTTGGCAGTTTGTGGGCCACAATAGATGTGCTCAAACCAGTCATGTCATCATATGACCAGGCGAATATGTCCTTGTATTCCTTCAGAAATTCTGTGTATTCTTCTTTTTCTGACGGTGACAAATGAATGCTGATCAGAGTTTCTTTGATATTTTTTTCATCTCCCAGGTTAACAATCCCGGTCTCGTCCAGGTTGGACTTAGGTCTGTTCTCAAAATTTTCAACCTCTTTAACAATCTCTTCTGGTATATCATCTTCCTCTGAATCTATGTCTGTTTGTTGCGTTGTCTTGTTGCATGTCACAACCATTGGTTCATCAAGATATGTAATAGTAATGCTGTATAAGTAAAGTAATGAGAGAAAATAATAAGAGTAAGATTTGTAAGGAAACCGAAATGCTTTGATAAATTTCATAACTGTTTTGAACATTGGAAGATCTTATTGCGAAAATTCAAAAATGCGAAAGGAAAATCAACTAGTAAAAATAAAAGATAGTGCATGATGCTTTGTTCAGCCTTGCTACCCTAAGGCTTTCCGAGCTCTGGTGGTTCTGATGGTCCAATTATTGAGGCATGCTCTTTAGCTTACGGCCTGTATGGAAGGGCCTTCCTCCCCTCCTCCTCGAAAATGACACAACAATCCATGTCATCTTCTTCTAGGAACAAATTCCTCACTGCCGCCAGTGTTTCCTCATCTTCCGACCTATAGATAACATCGGCCGGCTGGAAAGTCTGCTCCAAATGTGGTATTGGTTGCTCCAGCGGGTAGTATGGACCGCGCCATGGTGGCGATCAGTTGTTGAATTCCTCCCAAGTATACTCATATCCTAGGCCAAAAGTGGTGCCATGTTTCTTCAGTTTGATAGGCTTGGCGATTCCTTGGAGGTTCTTGCCAAGTCCCTTACCAGGTTCATATCTGCACCAATTTAGTATGCTCTCAATTTTGTTGCCCCACCACTTGTCTTTTTCGACGACATTGACTCGCTCGATGTGGTGATAGGTTTCCCCGCCTATCCTTCTCCTTCCTCCAATCGCTGGGATGGTTTGGCGACTGTATATGGGATTACTATCGTCGCCGTGAATGATCACCTCTTGGTGGTTCCACTCAAATTTTACCGCCTGATGCAGTGTCTATGCTACGGCCCCAGCGGCATGAATCCACGGCCGTCCCAACAACAAGTTGTAACATGCCGACACATCTATTACTTGGAAATCGACATCGAACCAAGTAGGCCCCATTTGCAAGCACAAACTAATTTCCCCAATAGTGGACCTTTGGGAACCGTCAAAAGCTTTGACGTTGATGGCCCCATCCTTGATCTCATGCAGCCCCCTTCCCAATGTTCTGAGTGTTACCAACGGACAAATATTGAGGCTGGACCCTCCATCAATCAGGATCCTAGTGATAAAATAATCTTCGCATTGTACGGTGATGTGCAACGCTTTGTTGTGACTCAACCCTTCTGGTGGCAGCTCATCTTCATGAAAAGTGATCTTGTGACTTTCCAATACCTGCCCTACCATGTTTTCCATTTCTCCT